TGTTTAAATATATAAATTATATTTATAAATTATATAAATACATATTTTAAATATATAAATTATATTTATATCACAATATTATTTTATTTATTGATGATTTATATTAAAATATTAAAATTTATTTCATAAATAATTATGATAAACAAAAATTAAATTAGATAAAAAAAATTAAAAGAATCCTTAAAAAGTCCTCATTAAAAGAAATCCTTAAAAATATTTTCATATTAAATAGTGATTTGTGCTTAATGTATAAGAGGTGACTAGTCAATTGTCATTTTCTATTATTTATAGTTCCTAGATAAAATCATAAAGAAGTGTTTTACTATTTATTTTTTTCTCTTTAAATCCTTGTATAGTAATTATCAAAAAAAAATTGGTTGTTTATTCATTAGATAACATTTTTTACTTGTTATAAAAAGTTTAGATAACATTTTTTTTACAAAAAAGTTTAGATTAGGTTAAAGAATGATCTCATGTAAGGTCATAACTAAATATCAAACTCATTAAAGATTTTCAATGAGATTTCAAACGGTCAAATCTACATACAATGACATAAAACACAGGAAAAATCATATTTGACCCTTTGATTTTAAACAATTACTTTTACTGCTAATTCTATTTTATTTTATAAATATAAATATTTTCTGCAATTTAAATCATTACAGATAATTAAATGAATAATTAAAATCATGGATGTTAAGTAATTTATGGGGTATTCTGCATATAGATAAATTTCAAATTATTTTAACATTTGATTATCAGCATTAGAATATTGGATGGACTATATCCAATGATTAAAAAAAGTACATAATGAATAAAATGATGGGATTGATAATTGTAATTGATAAATTTATTAAATTATACAATGCTTATTTTTATTTAATACTCCAGTAATGAATTTTGAATATATATATATATATATATCAAAAATATTATAAATAAATATCACTATTCACCATTTACTTATTTTTAGTTTTAAAAAACAAAAAATTAAGTATGATAATTTTTTTAAAATAAAATACTATGTGAGACAAAAAAAAAAAACTTACACCTATGAATAATTTTAAAATTTGAAACTATTTGAAATGTAAATTAGGGTGTTAAAGTTATACATATTTATACATTATGTATAAGCTTAAAACTTTCACTGTTAATATATATATATATTATTATTTCAATATAAAAATTCAACCACGTACTTCACACTATTATAAAAGCACATGTGAAAAAGTACTAGTAATGCATATATATAAAAAATTATTTAATTAAATTATAATTTTTAGTGGAAAATGAGGAAATGTGAAAATAAAGAGAGTAAGAATCCGTCAACACTAAGTGTTAAATTTAATAAAATTATATCTTCAATAATCTTTTTGTAAAATACAAATTTAACTAATTCAAGTGTTATATTATGAAATATAGATCAATTATTATTTATAATGAAATATAAGTCTAAATAATATAGTTATTAGTTTTTTAAAATTTAAAACAAAAGCTTTTAACTTCAAAAACACATCACCTTTTTAATTTTAAAAATATCAAAATGAGAATGTATGGAGACATATATAAGATGAATAACATATTTCATCAGTTTTTCTTAAACAAATAATTTTACATTTGTATTTTTTGCCGTTAAAATTTTAAAAATCATATATTGTACTTTCATCTAACAATGAATTTTCTATATGTTATTTCTATATATACTTCTTTCACTCTAAAAGAATTTTTTTCACCATGTACTATAAAAGTCACAGATCAGATCAAACCCAGTTATTTGGGCTAAATAGCCCAAAACATACACGTAAAGGCTGGCCCAAAAGAAAAGATGAAAAAAAAAAAACAAAGCCGCGAGCGAGATGTTATGTAACGTTGAACGTAATAATGCAAATCTTCGATTCGCAAGCACAAGGAAGCTTTTCCTTCCTTCACTCTTCATTTCTTATTTGATTTGAGATCTAATCTCTCTTATCTATTCTTACACTCACAGGTACTCTCTCTCTTTCTCGATCTGTTCAATTTCTAACTAGATCTTCAATTTTTCGTTTCCCTTTTCCTTATCATTTTTTCTATTTCTTGTTTTTGGGTATTGCTGTTTCATCTTTTGCGAATTGCTTCATACGTTTCGCATGCCATTCTGTAATCCGGGGTATCCATCGGTACTTGTTGCCCGTGAGGGTGAGAAATTAGGGTTTTGGGGTGTTATTATTTTGATTGATGCAATAATTGAATTGTGATTGAACCTCGAATAATGCATAGCTGTGTCGTTGAGTAGAAGTTAGCTTCTAGTTGTGTTTGGAAGATAATATATTTCTAGGTTTTGCTGAATCATGCTATCTGATTTGAAAACTTTTGTAAATTTGGGGCGGGGGAAGAAAATTAGGCAGAAGATTTTTAGTTTAGTTTCATTTTCAAAATGTTAACTTGAAGGTATGGTGAATGTGTTGATTATTAATATTATTGCAGAAATATGCCAGCTCAAAAGGTTGAAACGGGACATCAGGACACGGTCCATGATGTTGCAATGGATTACTATGGAAAAAGGTTGGCTACAGCTTCCTCTGACCACACCATTAAGATAATTGGGGTTAGCAACACAGCCTCTCAGCATCTAGCGACACTCACTGGTCACCAAGGACCCGTATGGCAGGTGGCGTGGGCTCACCCGAAATTTGGATCTCTACTTGCCTCGTGTTCCTACGATGGCCGCGTTATTTTGTGGAAGGAGGGTAACCCAAATGAGTGGACTCAAGCCCATGTCTTTGATGAACACAAGTCATCTGTCAATTCAGTGGCTTGGGCGCCTCATGAGTTGGGTCTTTGCTTAGCTTGTGGTTCGTCCGATGGGAATATCTCGGTGTTCACTGCGAGAGCAGATGGTGGCTGGGACACTTCGAGAATTGATCAAGCTCATCCCGTGGGTGTTACTTCCGTGTCGTGGGCGCCTTCAATGGCTCCCGGTGCCCTTGTTGGTGCTGGATTGCTTGATCCTGTTCAGAAGCTGTGCTCGGGTGGTTGTGATAATACTGTCAAGGTATGGAAGCTGAACAATGGACTTTGGAAGATGGACTGCTTCCCTGCTCTTCATATGCATACAGATTGGGTTCGAGACGTTGCTTGGGCACCCAATTTAGGACTTCCTAAGTCTACTATTGCTAGTGCTTCACAGGATGGTAGAGTTATTATATGGACTGTGGCCAAGGAAGGGGATCAATGGGAAGGCAAGACTTTAAACGATTTCAAGACCCCTGTTTGGAGGGTTTCATGGTCATTGACAGGAAACATATTGGCCGTGGCCGATGGGAACAACAATGTTACATTATGGAAGGAAGCAGTAGATGGGGATTGGCAACAGGTGACAACTGTTGAACCCTAGAATCTGATATTTCAGGTCTTGCTTATTACTTTTGAGGTTATGATTAGAAATTTCTTTTGAAAGTATAATTGGCATCTTGTTTCTTCGCATATTATACAGTTGAGCAATTGTGCTATGTAACGCCATTAGTTCCTTGAACTTTGTGATCCAATGAACATTCTGTGCTTGCAAGAATGAAGTTGAATAGCCTGAGTTGTTTTTTCCTTCATACATTAGAAGGATTTTCTTAAGTATATATGTGACATTCCATTAGAATTTTGGACCTCTATCTTGTGTGAGTTGCATTAATTTGTGGCCATTATTTTTAAGTTATGACCACTGGTGCATGTCTGGGCACACGGGGCATATCTAGCCTTGAATTTGAGTGGAATAAGATCGTGATGTTCTTTAAATTAAATAAATGGAGAATATATTCCTATTCGTATACTCAACATACAACCTTACTTTAGATCAGCATTTCCGATATCTTTATTATACATTTTCAGTTGGTGCTTCATAATGTGTTAGCCCTTTCTACACGTATCTGCTTTGGGGACTGAGTTAGATTAATAGTTATGAATGGTTTTACATTTTGTTGGGCATGAATTTAACAGGTAGGGAAGTCATGTAACAAGAGTAATAACATTTGTATAAACCTTGACGTGTACATATAAATCATTAGTTAACACGTTGGTCTAATTTTATCTTTTTGAATTGTTCATATA